ACCGGTGCGGTGTAGCTCTTTATGCCGTTGCGTCGCGTCGCGTTGTAGGATAATGAAGTAAAGGCTCTGCCGCGTCCCGTGGACATTTCCCCCGAGTGCAGCGCAGGAAAAACCCGTGCGATATTTATTATATTTAAAGTAACTCGATAATATCTATAGCATCGTTCAGCTGCTTAAGTTTCCGCTTTTCTCCTGAAGCTCGGTGCTTATTACGTTTCAATATTTCTTACTGCCACACGTAACTTAGTAAACGTAGACTCATTATTTTCTCCGTTTTTATAGATTTTATAAATATTATTTGAACTTGTCAACGTTTGCTTCTTAACCTCAGTAAGTAGCACCGTGATCACAGTCTGACAAGAGTGGAAGTTGCAATACTTGGGACATAGTTGAAGCAATAGAGATGTCAAAATATGTCGGCCGTGTCTCGTTGCCCGCGCCGTGATTAGCATGTGCTGATTATTTCATAGGCACGAGTGTCATCTTAAGAGAGACGACACGATCGTTAATGTAGCGATAGCAACGCAGCTACTAAATATAGAAAACCTGTATCGGTCTGTATGACGACGATAACGACTTGCCACGTAACTAAGTACGTGCGACGGAGCGGCGGTCGCATTACAATAATTTAACATAATCGTATCAAATAATCGCAGCACCAAGCCAAACAAATATACACCTCTGTTTTTGTTAACATAACGGGTTATTGTGTCAGCTGTGTTTATATCACATATAAGACACAAGTACAGACCGCGCGCCGGCCAGACAGAAGCTCTGGCTGTTTCCGCAGACTTGTTCTTGGCCCCACGATATATAAATTTATGTGCATTCATTGCCGGCTGGGCAAGTAGGGGAGGGTGAGCGCTGATCGCGAGCCAGCAATCGATGGTGTGCGCTCCGGGCGCTGACTGTACACACGCCGGGATGTGACACAGCTACCCGCAGTATAGAGGAGGGGTGCCACGTACTCATGTTTGGGTCGAACTTAATGTGAGTATACTTACAAGTCTACTTACTGTAGTAAAAAGGTGACTAACTATGTCTTTGTCCTTTATTTCTCCAGGTCCCATTAAAATGAAACTGGAAATAAACAATATACCACGTCAATTAGCATGTCAATATCAAATAATGATAAAACAAATGTTAATAATAATTAAATGTCCTTTATTTTAAGAAAAATAAGCCTTCTGTCCCTTATGTTCCTCTGGTCATTCTGACGCGAGTATGGAGAAGGACTCTGTATTTATAAATAAATAATATGCAGTTACTTATTGAAATACAAAACAAACAAGATTATTCCCTAACTGTTATTGGCAGCAGTACGGATTGTGGCGCTTTTTATGGAAATAGACTCGGCGTCGCGGCTCGCCCCCATTACACTGACGTCGACGAGTTACGGCACAACCCAGGGAGGTTCTCAATGGGAAAGTAAGTGTTCGCAGCATGATTGTTACATTACTACATGGCGCTACTTTAAAGTCAGTTTCAAGTTTTGGTAAATGCCAAAGTTGAACCACTGGTAGTGTCATTAGATATCTACTTTTTGTATGGAGTGGTGCGTTCAACCAGTAATGCCATTTTGTGTCGTGTGGTTATCAGCACAGTATTCGTGTGCCACCGCTCACGAATAATAAGCACACCCCCGGGGCCACCCCCCCCCCCCGACCGCGCTGTGTGTCTGTGTGAGTGAGCCGCGCGCTGCCTGCTTCAGCTGGACTCAACATTTAGGCGGATTATAGCGGTAGCGGTATATTTTCCCCGTGCTCACTGCGATACTAAACTAATCGAAGTAATGACTATTGCTAGTTTAGTAAAATCGCTATGTAGGTAAAATATATATTTTTTAGCCTTTATTATTGTGGTTCTTTTCTTCTGTCTCCTATTACATTATTAAACTCCATAACTCTATAACTCCATAACTCCATTATTAAACCATTAAATGCCTGATAAAGTATCAGAAGAATGGTATTAATGGAATAACGCGGATTTGTCAAACTATTTCCAATTATTGTTAATGTCTCATACAGAATAGAAAGCAGTCGCACAAATAGTTAAACTCAATACCTACTCGTATAGATAAGTTCTGTAAGTGAGCTGTAGTAAGTCCACGGCGTGCGTGGTCCCCCTGCCTGGAAGTATCAGCGTGTATGTGTGTGTGTGTCACGCTTGTAAGACATTCATTGATCCGCTACAATCTCCTCGTCTTCTGCAAATCTCCAGTCGTTCCAGTTGTTGGGATTTAGTTTTGAAGTATGTCCATAATAATATTAGTCATAGGATTACATTAAGTATGAATAAATATATACAACTTAAATACAAATAACTAAACACTAAAATATTGATTACAATAAAACAAAAAAAAAATATATTAGTCATAGAATAAGTAAAAAAAGAACTAAACAATGAAATAGAATTTCATGATAATAATATGGAGTAGGACTTCTGCATGTGCCTGTACTGTACTGTACTGAGTGGTGGAGGCGCGCTATACCGCCGCGCCGGGCGCCGGGCGCCGGTCGCCGCCCCGAGACGTGCCGTCGCCGGCGTTCAGGGGATCGCCCGGTGTCGGCGACGTCTTCGCTATGTTTATTGACTTAATCGGTTATGTACACTAGCTTTCCTTATTGGATTGAGTTTATTGTCGGCTTACACCCATCCACGGGTTCAAGTGTCTACCATTAACAAACTCTCTCAGGATAAGTATCAGTACATTCAGGACGCTGCCTCGCGTCTCTTGAACTACAAATAATTTAACATCTCGCAGTAGTTGTTTGACAATCAGGACACGAACAGGGAGCAACTGAAGTCGTGATGTCGCTGATCACAGGACACTGCAACAACACACTGCCACACACTCTGCGGACGAACAATGTTCATTGTGTGTCATCTATTGGCTAAATCTTGCCGCGATATGTGTATATATGATATATGCCTTTTTTGTTTTTAAGTCAATGGACAATAGGCTATTGACATCGTGATAGGTTTTCGTAGAAGTATCGGCGACGGCGGGTGGTAGGCGGTAAACGGCCCAGTGACCCACTACTGGGGCCACGGGCCGCCAGGGGGAGCACCCTCAGGCCCTCGCGTGTCGCATCACGCCAGTCGTCACAGTAAACCCACACTGTTGATTAGTTAGTTGCGTTGCACTCATTACACTTTATAACTATAATAATGTAGTTTAATAAAATTGTAAATGTAGTTTAAGTATGGGAGAGCCATGCTTCGGCATGAATAAGCCGGCTCAACCGGAGTTATACCACGGCCTCACAGAAAACCGAGGTGAAACAAAGCTTGCTTTGTGTTTCGTCGCGTGAGTGAGGTTACCGGAGGCCCAATGGCCCCAAACTCTCCAATTTTTGAATCTCCACAAATCCTCAAATTCCTTTTCTCCTAAAGGCCGGTAACGCACTTATTTATTTATAATTTAGAGTACCAGACAACTTGTAACGCCTCTCGCGTTCAGCTAATCACGAAATATTCTCGCACAGACATACAGTCAGTTAAACATGTTATACATATAGTTTAATTTGTTGTCTAAAGATTTTTTTGTATTTTCGAGCTCAAGAGTATTATAGTTTATTCTAAAGTTCATTTTACGTTTGTGTTGTTCAATTAAGGTTTAATCATAAATTATGTAAATATCGATATACGGCGTACGAGTCACATTTCAATATTTTGTTTATTAACATGAGTAATGTATATTTTGAATAATAACAAAGGAATATGAAAAAATGTCAGCAAAGTAACTGGTTTTATGAAAAAACAAAATCCAGTATGATTTAATAATAAAACTTTGGAGCCGTCTAAATTAATCAAGCGATAACAAAGTAATATTTTGACTAGACAGAGTCTACCGTGTGCAACCGAAGAGAACTTAGTTCGTCCCTGCGCCCAAATAATGTAAAAAGTAACAATTTGAACGACCCGGTTCCAGGGCATATACAACACACATAGGTACAGCAATGAAGCGTGCTGTGGGTTCGACATATGTATGTTTACTAAATATATGTATATGTACAATACTCCATGCTGCACAGGCACTGAACATAATTTCCGTTTGGAGAAAGCTATTCTTATTCTCATATCCGGAGCTTCATTCGATTATTTTGTTCAATCAGTGGCAGCTTGCTCTCGTGATTGCAATGCAATAATACAATGTAACTGTATTCTCATTTGTTGATTGGTGGCAAGTACGACAGTAGAACTCGAAGGATGTTTCACAGGAACAATATTTAATTTGTCTGTAAAATTAAGTCGATAATTGGCACTTACAGAGTTGATTTCCGAAAGACTACCATATTTCAGGTTATTTAAGGTCGTTATTTAAGGTCGTTCAGGGTCGAGGTCGTTAATTTCACTATGCAGTCTCTTCGAGCTGAGAACAAGGAAAATAAAGTCACAGTAATTTAGTGATAATGTGAGTGTGATCGGCTCTGCATTGTGCAATGTGGCCGCCACCCGCTGTTAGCGCGCTGGCGTCACTTTTAGCACTTCTGATCAGCGGCTGGTCGTCAGGTGCCCTGGCTGTATGTGGGAGTATGTGGCACTTTGTTAGTGCTGCAGGGACTGATATAACAGCTGATGTAACTAGAATTTAACTCATTATGTACGTGCAGAATGTATATGGCAATCATTGACCTTCGTAGGGCTAACATTAGTTTCTGCACTATCACTATTTTATCTAGCAAATATGTTATTTTGGTGTAGCCCACAATTTACGCATAGCAGGTGAACATGAACAATACACATGTGCATGACGTAAGATGCGAGTGGCGTATGATCTGCTCACTAGGCAGCGTATTACGTTACGCCATATGCTGCATGGCCTACACTGACTGCATGCTACGACATGGGCTACGTTACATGTTACGACATTGGCTACGCTACATGTTACGACATTGGCTACGCTAAATGCTACGACGTGGGTTACGCCACATGCGACAAAACGGGCTACTCCACATACTACTAGCTACGTCACGGACTACGCCACATGCTACGGCATGGGCTACGCCACATGCTACGACATAGGCTACGCCAAATACTACGACATGGACTACGCCACATGCTACGACTTGGGCTACGTCACATGCTACGACTTGGGCTACGTCACATGCTACGACTTGGGCTACGCCACATGCTACGACTTGGGCTACGCCACATGCTACGACACGGACTACGTCACATGCTACGACATGGGCTACGCCATTATGGTACGATATGCGCTACGCCACATGCTACGGTATGGGCTACGCCACATGCTATGACATGGGCTACGCCACATGCTACAACATGGGCTACGCCACATGCTACGACATGGACTACGCCACATGCTACGCCACATGCCACAACATAATATATACAACAAATGCTAAGACACGCTACGTTGATACTACCAAAGAGATGTACTCCGCATAATGCGTAGTTTCCAACTCCACCAAAATATAGTAATTCACTGTCGGCGAGTAACCTAACATTCGACAAACTTATATTTGCGTTTGGTACAGACACAATTGTCTAGGGATCGAACCGCAGAATGAGGTTTGTTTTTAGTGTACATACTTTTCGAGATAAAAAGTACCCAGTATGATGCCCAGGGCCTTTAGCCAAACGCCACTTTAGCGCTTGTCTACAGAGAGAGTAGAAATCAAAATGTATGGGGATGACACTGACAAGTGTCAAAATTTACGTCAATTCCATATAATTTGGTTTTCTATTCTACAAGTAGACAAGCGCTAAAGTGGCGTTTGGCTAAAGGCACAGGATATTAAAGTATAATTGGGTACTTGCCAACATGGCAAATTCAATACTTTTTTCGAATTGTCAAAAACGACAGTTTTCTATGAATTTTGTACGAGATTGTGTTTTCTGACGTCACGTTTTTTTAGAGTAAAACAACTTACTTACTTCTTAAAAATTTGCTGGAAAAATACTACTACTACTACTAAATTGGGTTGGTCATAAAATCAATTAATGAAAGTGTGATTATTTTGTTAAATTAGTTTTTGTATTGAACAGTCGAAATTATTTATTTTTGATTAAGGCAAGTACGCAATTATACAAAGTTTCATCGTAATTGGACCGGTAGTTTTGCATGATGCGTGAACGTACAGACAAACAAACAATCATTTTTATAACATTTTGTTTGTTATACAGTTTTATTATATGTATAGATATAGATTTCAAATATTCAGTTGCTAATCATCATGATTTGGTGCTCGTGACCGGGAATTAGTAAAGCTGATTAAAGTGATTTATTCTGTTCATTTGCGTCCTCCATGACGCCGAGCTAAGCGATGCAGACATTATAAGTGATCTATTCTGAGAGATAGGATGAAAGTAGGGCGAGGGTGGTGCTATGTCTGAACGGACCCTGAATTGTTCGTAATTAATTATTATTGTATGCGTGTAATTGTACACATAGAACAACAAGTCGTGTAGTAATTGCAGTCCCGACCCGACACCCGGTGAGTGCTCACGCAGACGTCCTCGTTAGCTCGCTATTAATTAATGTAATCAAACAGTTATTAACGCCATCATTAGTAGCGGCACCCTCTGTGCTTACACTCAGCCACATCATGTACCACGAATACTAGAAGGACGCTCACTGCTCACGACGCCGAATGTGCTCGCTGTATATGTATAGTTATGTGTTTTACAGTTAGACCATTGTATAAATGTAAGTATTATGCAAATTATGCATGAAGTGGTATTTGCGTTCCTTTCAGACTACGAACATAATTCAGAAATATTGGCTATTAGAAAATTGAGCTCCGGCGAACTTTATTCTGTTGATTGTGGGCATGTTAGTCCACGTGAGACTGTATCGCGCGAGATAATTTGTTATAACACACAGCACGGAAGGCGGCGGATGATTGCCAGGCCGCCAGGCAGGAAGCAGGACTCGGTCAAGTCACGAGATTGTGCGCGTTATGTCTTACGCGTACTCGAACCCAACGACCGCACAGCCCAAAGTAATTACCTGAAGCACTCATAGTGCCTAGTGTCCGGGAGGTCGGTCGAACTCTACTTGACTAAAAATAAGAATAAATACGTATACATACTCACACACCGCAAAATTGCTTTTAATTTTTACATTCTCATTGAGATGTAAAGAATAATGAATGGCACACAAGCGATGACAGTCGCTGTGTATATAATTGTGGGGCACGCGCACGTGTGTGTGTGCGTGTGTGTGTGTGCGTGCGTGTGTGTGCGTGTGTGTGTGTGACGTGTGTCGGTTGGACCCTGTGCCTGTGTATGTCTATCTGAGCTACAGCATGTGACACAGGTCTCTATATTGTTTTTTGTTCTTTAAACATCTGCATTGATTGCGAAAGCTGAAAGTTTATTTATGTCCGTTTTGTGAGCATCGGAGTGTGCACAACGAATGTGGATCATGACCGATTTAGCACGAACTAGTCAAAAGATGCGAAGACACAATGTTGCGGTGGTTGGGAGGGCGGCGTGCTGCGTGCTGCACAGGTGCCATGCGTCCCAGCGTGCTGAGAGCAGCCAGGAGTCGGTGGGCTGCGGTGTGAGACCACGACGGTCACCGAGATCGATATTCCAACTCTTCGTGATAGGATTCCTGGAAACTTTCCTATAAATAGTTCAGTCGATGGTTAGATAGGTCAAAATGAAGGTTCAGCAGTTCTCCATGGCCTATGGTGAGCCGTGGACAGCTGTGTGCTCATTAGCATCAGTCCCGTTGACAGAACAGGGTATATATATAGCATCGTTTGTCATGCGCTCTACCGCTTATATTATGTTTCAATACATAAAGTATTTTTAGAGTGTTCTTGGTATGTTTGAGTGACTTCCGCGACTCCTGCCGACACTGCCGCCCAAAATAGTCTCAATTTTATTCAATTACAAGCGTCGAACTGCTAATTAAGTAGACTTCAACCTTTTCCTCAGCAGTAATGTAATGTGCTTGTGTAGTACCGACATTAACAAACTCAAGGCGCAACATAATGTGAATGATGAACAGTTGTATTATATTCGTTGCAGGTAAGTTAGGTGGGCGCACAGCGGGGCGGGCACATTCAGATAAAGCACAACGCCCGCACGTGTCACAAGTCCTATATAGCGACATTGAGCCTGACATTCGGTTTGACACCACCACGCAATGCATAGGGTTTGCTGCTGACATTTTAACATTATTTATTATAATGTGAGAAATAATTTCAAGGACCTGGCATTTGCAGGAACTTTACGGTATACCACGTGTTCATTGGTCACGTGACACCTCGTGCCCACTCCCGCACCCGCTCGTCCTGGTAGATATCCTGAGCCGAAGGAGGCCCGAACCTTGATCGCTTATGGCATTATTCTTCTCTTAGCCACTTTTTCTAGAGATTTTTGCTTTACTTATAAGAACATCTATTTACACATATAGATGAGTTAGTTAACAATGTATGTATATAGAACAACGCCAACTATATCACATACTATCTGAATCACTAGTGCATTACTTAAGTTGTATTTATAACGTGAATCTATTAACTCTAGTTTTGCTAGCTTCATGTTTATTTTCCTCAGTAGGACATTGATGAACTGTTCGGGTGTAAGTACAGTGCCGAGAGCTAGTCTAATGCAATAGTGTCGTCCGGTCGACCGGTCCGGTCCGGGTCACCAGTGACGGTAGCGCCGGTGATTGGATTACTTGCGCGCTGGGCCGGACGTCCCCACCGCGACTCGATTTGGCTGATGCGATCAACGCATCGGCATCGATAACTTAGAGTCGTGGTAGCTGTAAATAACTGTTGTAAAACTGAGGAAGTACAATATTATAATATTAAATTAGGTCTTATTTTTTTTATTTTTAAATCAGAAAAATCATTCCCTTAAAAGTAACGGAATGTTCGGGTAAAGACCCGAATACTAATTGACCCGCCATCTTTCAGTGTATCTTACAGGTAGGAGTCACTGTATATGCAATATTAATTAACAATATTGTTCCTTAATAATTTAACTATCATCATAAGTGAGTCAGCTACCCTGGCTTCGGGTCAGCTACTGGAGGGAACATCGCAGTGGTTACTGTGTTGATAGTGGAGCACCGCGGCGCCATCTTGTGAGAATATAGAGGTACGTGAGCGCGTCACTTGTCCTACTTAACTTAAAAGGCCACTAATTCAGATTTCACTGTGATTGCCTTTAATTATATAATAATGTTTATTAAAATAATAGTGGTAGGCATATGTGCGTATATTACCTACTACAATATAACATAACTATATATTCCAACATATTGTCATAAATATACCAAACTGGCACTCTGTTAATGTAAATCTAAAGCCGACAGGATACCTACATGCAGTTTAAATATTGCTGTTCCAGCTGTATCAAAAACAATGCAGTATCCCAGTACACCGGTCTACTACAGCACTGGTCAACATAGTATTTGTTTCGGTTCCAAGTCATGGTATGAGTGATACATTTTATGAATGTTATGAATGAATGGATACGTCTATGTGGATGAAGTTGGTTTTTAATAGCATTTCATAGGAACACATAATTTAAGAACGTATAAAAGAGTGGCGCGCTTTGTTCCGCCGCCCACCGCCCAGCGCCGAGTGTAGTGGGCGGCGCGTTTCTATAGGTTAGGACCCAATTCTACACAAACTTCCCAGGTTTCACGGACCACTCTGTAGGCGGAAATTCAGTACAAAACACAGATTATACATTACCACAGCTTTTGTTCCACTCTACTCATTATAAGCTTTTGTATTGTATCGATTCATTAATAAAATGTCCTTTTAACGGCGTGTGGCATTTTAAGGAATGAAGTCAATTATAAAAACGTTGAAAGGCCGTTCGAGCATGTCCATTAAAAGTTGTCCACAAAGGGGCTCATGTTTTTACACGATGTTAAGTTAAAATTGTGGCCTCCCGCGGCGCGCACCGAGCGCCCTCCGCCCGCCGCCCGCCGTACTCTACGGGGATATTAATTACGTTCACGGTTAATATTTATTGTTGATTTTCACAAATAGTATTCTATGGTGGGTTTTTACTTAAATATTTTGTTTAAACAATCGTTTAACCAAAGTTAAACAAAAAGTAAATGATAGTGATTAAGAAAACTTTAATAATATGCATTTAGTATGCAAGTGGACATAAACCTTGCAACAAAACTTACGTATGCATGTACGTCTGTACAAAACGTAACGTAATGTACGATCGAGAGAACAAAACGTAAGCCCTGCGGCCACATCAAACTTTTACGGAATAGTTTTTGCAAAATGCTTTATTGGACTTGAAAGCAAAACAAAAATATGCGACATTTTATCGTAGTGCAGTCCGAGTCACACAATAGCTGAACTCGTATCGTGGTCTCTGACTCGCCAGGAATCGATATTGATATTGACAACACAGGTCGCTATTGTAGTGAGCCGATGATGTGCCTCGCTGCGGCTCATTGTATCTAGTGTACGAATGAACTTGTCGGACAGCTGCCTCGTGTCTGCCTGCTGGACGACGTGGTATCAGATTTCCATTTCAATCCCATTCCAGGGCTTGCACTAATGCACATAACATGTTAGAAACTGGCAATGGTTATTTGTTAAGATTAATGCAGCATACTTCGACATTTATAGCATAGTTACGACAACTATTAGTTGTGTTACGGCTGTAGTAAGTAATGTATTACTCCGCATCCTCGTAAAAGCTGAATTTGTTCAGAGTTGGCCCGAACGCCAGCGGAGTAGTTGAAAGGTATGGTCGAGTTTGTCTCGCCATGCATATTTATATTTCCTTTTCATTATATTATATTTCAGTTTACGGACTGCCTGATAATAAGCAGTTGTCGGTTTTTGCGTACAACTCCGGCACCGACGGTGTGTGCAACCGTTGTGATGCTGCAGCCAGCGGCTGTGGCTGCAGCGCTAGTAGTGCCAGTACACAGGCCGCCGTCGCCGCCATCGCCGCCGCGGGCTCCGCTGGCAACCGTTCAACTGCTCAGATAACTATAAATCTAACAAGACAAACTCGTCCCGCTCATGCGGCAAACCGTCGCTGTCTGCCGATACATTTTGTTCTGCTTCACACTTGTATTACTTGAATAGATACCATTGTGATATATGAGTACTATACGTTCGTAAGGAAGACGTAGTCGGTGCTTTGACAGCACTGCCTTCTTCCCATAATGCGAGGGTGCATCGAATCATGTATTGCAAAGTGTTGGCGGTGGGCAGTGCAGGTGTCGCTAAGCCACTGCAGTTGGTGAATAATGTTTTGCATGGTGTTCCTGTCAGTTGGAATTGTTTAAATAGTTAACAATCGTATGTGTCTTATCCGATTATCTCTCAGCTCTGAAGTAAGAACGGCAAATATTTAAATTGTACAGACATACGCATATTTTTGTTTTATTAATGACTGGTTGGGAACAAGTCGCGCTTGAAGCGGAGGACATTCTGATAGCCATACAGGGCTGTAGGAAGACACAACAGCTGCACCTGAAGAACATTCCGTTAAGACAACCGAAGTAGGCTAACAACCATTGTGTATACATTACGGGTTTACCGCGCGTAGCTGGGCTACTGGCGAGGATACGATTACTTCATATCAGTGTTTGATAACAGTCGCTGCGGCAGCGATACTAGCTATTGAGTAACTACGCTGCATTCTGACGAAGTTAGTAAGAATGCTGCACAGCTAATAACTAAACACTAATATTTGTAAAGTGGTGTGAGCAGGAGTGTGCGTGGGAGTGGCTGCGCTCGCGCCTATCGCCGCGGCTATTATTGTGCACTTTATATTTGCATCGTTTACCCGCAGTCGGCGGGCGGCGCGCGGCGCGCTAGCTGGCGCGTGCCGCCCGCCTTCCCTCGCGCGTCGCTCAATCAACAACAATCTTTAATTATTTATTCAACCGGCAAACGTTTATTTAACGAGTCTACTTCTGAACGGAGCTGTGTCGTGGTGTTGCCGCAGTAGTGACGTATAGGCGTGTGGCCACGCCACATCGTCACGTCGGTCTATGTTTAGCGCAGT